ATCTACAATGGGAGGAAGACACTCCAAGGCAACAGTCACTAAACACAGGTTTATGGACCCTGAGTTGGACCAAGAGAGAGCGTTTATTGTCCTAGTAACGGAGGCTCCCTTGATGCGCTAATGATTGTGAAACGCAGGTGTTGCCAATTGAACGCCTACACCAGCATGGCTCTTTTCAACCGATGAGGGCTTCTGCTCAAGGCGGATAATGTTCATGTTTGATTAAATATCATCAAGATTAGGATGCAGGTGTAACCACAGTGTAGTAACCCATTTATCCTATTGTGTTCAAATAGTTGTAACTCAAATAGACTTGACTGGACATTTTACTCAATGACTCGACTCGACCCGAGTCACTATGCTACCATGACTCAACTCGAGTTACAAAACTTAGTGATTCGTCACAACTCATTTGCACAAAATGCAAGACTTCATAACACATCCGTTGATTATAAAGCGTTTACGGTACCTTGTCACCTGACTGGGTGTGAGTGGTTTTTGAGTGAAGTGAATGTGACAGAAATGTGTTATCCTGCATAATGGCATGCAACACGCTCAGAGGCGGCTCTGCCGGGGGCCTGGGGGGCTAGGAGGCTTTTGTCTAGCCCTCCTCCATGTACAAAAAGCTGGGAAATACTGAAATTGCACTTCCATACTAATATTTAAATTTGAATTTAATAGTCCATGATCATTTGGCAGGGTCGTTATGCACAATATACATTAAATTCGACCTCGTTTGTGCATTATCAAGGAAGTCAATCAGGGCCATTTACTTGGTCAATGCTTTTTTATATTTTTATTATCTTTTGCAAGACAAACAGCACAAGCCGTGTGTTGAGTGACAACCTATGAGCAGGTTTTTTCTTTGTTTTTCTCAGAGCAGTCAACTAAACAAAAAATGAATTAAGGCAATGTAATAATACACAAAGTAAATAACAATCTATCAATTCTATAAATAAAAACAAAATAAAATAATAACACCCAAAAGGAAGTGTAAACGGTGTGTGCTACCTTTCAAATTCACAAATCCACCCACCTAGCGGGTACTGCGAAGCGCGGCAGCCTACTGGAATCTTAAAGTTCTACAGGGGACCTACGTAACGCTATTTTGCTGCTGAGTGTCACCAGGAAGCGCTGTTTCTGCCTTATTTTGTGCAGTTTTCTGTGAGCGCATAATGAAACCATTTGTCTCCATTTAAAAATGGAAATCAGTGAGTGACACCTTTCTACAGTTAACCAACGTCATGGTACATACATGCGCACTGATTAAGAGCGCCCATTGGCTAATACGCCAAGCTTGCAATTATGCACTTGTACATTGTGTATGACTAAAGTTGTAACTGCGCCACAGGTCAAAAACTAGATAGACGAGACACACGGTCACTCTCGATCAACGACACAGCAGTCTCATCGTGAAAAAACAGACTCCAGTAGAGGTATAAAGAGTCTTGTCGGGCAAATTTTTATCTTCGTCGACCCAACGCAGCAATTGTCCGCACACTTGTGGCTTACAAGCAAACAAGTAGCAGCAGCTTGTCTGGGATCTCTGGCTGTTGGAAGTGAGCATATAGTTAGACGTCAACAACGTTCCCACGAGGGTGCGAGGATACTGGACGATAAGGTTAAGGATTAGTTAGTATGTTGGTTTGAACCCCGAGCAATGGCGCTATTTCCGATCATTGCTGCTGCCCTTGGTGGAGTTTTGTTAGGTAGTCTCTTTGGCGGCCAGTCTTCCCAGAGTGAGTACTAAACACTTTAAGTTGTTTGACGCTTTTTATGTTTAGCGGGAATGTAATGACAGCACAGGGAATTTATGAAGTGGTCTCTGGGAAAAGAAAACTCGGTTACTATTTCATCACGTCAAGCATCTTGACCCCTTTGTTCTCTTCCTTTTTGTCACGAAATGGAATCGTGTCAGACGGGAGAGAAAATCTAAGTTGAATCTGTACTGATGAAACGGAGGACACGCCAGTGTCAATCGTTTTGTTTTTGTATTGTTTGCTTCCTATGCACCTGACAAAATATTATAGACTGGCTTTAAGGGGACATCGCAGAAGTTTAAAAAATGAGGATATCCCTTCAAAGCCTCTATACGAGATGTCGGGGAGATGAAAGGCGAATCCAGCATTAACTGATCGCACTAGTCACTGCTCAGAAACAATTTCCAGAACAAAACTGCTCTGTCCATACAAATCATAAAAATCAAGCTCCATTTAAAGACAATTTATATCTTCAGTCGGATTAAAAACAAAGGCCCCAGGATCTGCCCTTGGGGAAGATTCGTCCCGCACGTTCCCAGACGTCAAGTTTGCGCTCGTGATGGACTGGTCCCCGTCCATTATATAGAGACTGGTAGCTAGCTGCGGTTTAACGCGTGCAATTAGTCCCGTCAATTTGGATGCTGAATATTTCAGTTTTTGACATGTCAGGCCAGTAGCAATGCTTTTACATGTACTTCATTTCAGCACGGAGGCAAATAAAACATAAGTACCTATCTTTGCTAAACCTCTGTTGATCACATTGTGGTAATTTGATTTTCAATGATTATCATCAATAAATTATTTTACGCCAATTTATTTCTAATCAGTGGTTATTGTGTTAGAGTTTACAGAAATGATTAATTTATGGTGAAGTTGTTTTCAGTAACGAAGAAACTTCTGCTTGAATATTTAAATTTTTGTCAGACAAAACGGGCGATTCACAATAGCGCGCATCCAAGAGTTTGCATTGCGTTGACCAATCACAAGGCGCGAAATCTGTCCACCCTTTCCAAACGCGCATTTATTTCAAATCAGTGGTTATTGTGGTAGATTTTAGATAAATAAACAATTTATGCTGAGTTTTTTTCGGAAGTGAAGAAGAAAAGGCAGAATATGCTAGGCCTATCAGCTCCTGCTGGATTTGTGCATCGAGCGGGCATCGTTTCCTCATTTACATACACTTGGAAGGATTCTGCCGGATTCATTACCCGATACCGGTCCCCTATGTTCGGAGGACGTCTGTGAGACGTCTGGAGACTACGTACGGGACGGGAACCAGTCTACGCCCGTGAGCGCTTTTGTGACGAAGTTGAGGGGTCGAGACTAGTAAATAAATTGCCGTAGACAACAATGATAAATACCCCACTTCAAAATTCAGGAAAAATACTTACAAGTTTCACAGGTGTTAAAGACACATAACAAATTAAAGCTCACTTCCTCATCTTTCATGTTCCTTTCAATTTTCAGTGGCTTAACCTATGACTTTGGAAGATATTTCTCTCCGGAGAAAATCACCCCTCAAAACAGTCAGGAGGCCCATCGCCATTTTGGAAAGTGATGCCTACACTCCATGGCAAAATATAGCAATTAGGAGGGCCCCGTTTGGCCGATATTATCAGAAATACAAGCTGACAGTCCTGCGCCTGCATTTTATCTACCTTTTAAACAAACCACCCAGTTCACGTGCACGAAAGGCTTTTTAATAGCAGAGAATTTTACAGCCTACAAATCGTGATTTGGCCGTGCGAGCAATTTTGGACCGATTTACTTGCCTGCAGCTTGAGCACTTCGACGAACGTATATCCTGGTTCCCAGACCCAATAAACTCGACTATATTTACTCGTTCTCGCTTGCGATTCAAGAGTCCGGTATCACCCAATATCATTTGGCAGACTTGAACATTGTGTTTATGTAGTGATCGGCTGAACTTAAGAATAGGGCCTAGAAGTAAAACACGTTTAAAACATATGCAGTTATTGTCGCCATGGATGTACTGCTGTTTTTAAAAATAATAATAATAATAAAAAAAGGGTCTATGCTTGGTCTCTTGTCATTAAGGCGCCTTCATTTGCTAGCTTTTCCGCGATATCCGGCGTCAACGTCAAAGGTCGAGTTCGGGCGGCCTGTTCCTGACACGGGTTTCTTGTTCTCGCGCTCGAACGGCGGGAACACGACTCAAGAACACTGTTCTTGGAACAGGATCACACACCACCTCTGCGTCAGGGTTTTACAGGAACACACGGGAAAACTCGTGAGATTTTGATTTTTGAACAGCTGCAAAAAGTAGAGAGATGGCTTCCAAAACCATCGACAATGGGAAGTTTTGCAAAATTAACATTAATTATTTTCCGTAACACAGAAATGAATGCTCCTGTTTATATAGAAAAGAATTCAGCCCATCCAAACATTAACTCTCGAATAACGTAGCCTGTATAGATGCCGCCATTTTGCATGTTCTTGTCACTAACTACCAGCGACAACTGGTTTTACGTTCCCGGCGTTCGAGCGGCCGACCCACGAATAACAAATCGAGCTGTTCGTGAACATACGGGAACAAGCCGCCCGAACTCGGCCAAAGATTGTATAACGTCTGTCACCGATCAGTAAGTCCTACTTGGACAGCCAGACTCCCCCCGTCGGTGATATGTAGTTATTCATAATTGCATATGAACGACATGATCTTGCATAACGTATACAGAGTTTCCACCAATCAAACAAGTCCAGCAATTTGATTGGCTACTACCCGTTTTGGTAGATGAGCTGATTCGCGGTGTACAGACAGCTTGCAGATTCGTCGGGATTTCGGGAAGTCGAGATTTCTGAACTCACTGTAATAGTTGGACACAAGTAACGACGCGCGGCCTTCATATCCAATGCATAAACGCAGACAAGGTCACGAAAGATCCCGGCTTGAGTTCAGTCTAATGGCACTTTAGAGCAGTAAGGACCGATAAACCAGACAGAAGTAGTCAAATTATCGTATCTTGTCCGTACGTGTGACGCTGTTGTGACTTAAACCAAGTCCACTCACACACGTAGGCATTGGAAGCGCTGAAACTCTCTGTGAATGAACTAATTTTTTTTCATGCGTATTTCGTGCGCGCACATCCCTAACATCGCGAGCGCTATCTTCATGCCAAACAGAGTAAATGTAACTGATATGTTTTTCAGAGATTTAGGTCTGTTTTAGCCGTTATAATGAACAATCCTCTTTTGTTTATCCTTTACCCATTTGCATAGATCCAGACAGGCAACCACCGTACTTAAAAACTGGCACTTGCCCCAAGGATATGACACGGTATCCAGGCCCTGGGTCATCGAGTGTAGTTGTTAAATGGTCTACGCCAAAAGCAGACGATGATAAAAGTAAACCCGTCAAGTAAGGGCTAATTACTTTTCCTACCTTTGATGTGAAGATAAGAAAAAGTGAAGAATTCACATTCACCTTTACGTTACAGAGCTTTCTTGACACAATGGCATTGGCTAAGTTGCAGATAGGCTATAGGAGATATCCTTACGATATCGATGTTATCAAAGGCCTGACAGCAAAAGGAAAACGAATCGCCGATTTTTTGTATAATTGTTCGTTTGTTTCTTTTACCATGCATACAGTCAATACACAAGTAGACTACCCCTGCCGTACTGTGCGTACATTTTTCAGGAGGCTAAAACGCACGTTGAATACAATTGAAACGGCAGTAATTATTAATTTATTTCCATCACTTCATTTGTTTTCTTTGTTTGTTGGTGTGCTGGGTTGTTAAGTTGTTTGTTTGTTTGTTTGTTTGTTTGGATTGTTGGGGTTGTTTGTTTGTTTGTTGGGGTTGTTTGTTTGTTTGTTTGTTTGTTTGTTTGTTTGTTGGGGTGTTGGGGGTGTTTGTTTGTTTGTTTGTTTGTTTGTTTTTAAGGAGGAAATCGCAGAAATAGCGAGATGGCTTACCGCAGACACGGAAAGTTTGCAAAATTACTATGAATAATTTTCCATAACACGGAACGAATGTTCCTTTTTAAATCGAAAGAATTCAGCCCATTTATGAACTTTAACCTTGAACGTAGGTGGGCGGCGCCATGTGTCATATTGCTTGCCTCAGCGATAACCAGTTGTACTTTCCCTGCGCTCAAGCGCCGACCCGTGGCACGAACAACATTACTGTTAGTGAACATAGGAGAACAAGCCGTCCGAACCTAAAATTCCTTCATGCATCGATCAATGGGTTTGAATCCTCGTGCCGTGTTAACCATGATTAAAACAAGCGCAAACAAATCGAATAATGAGACGGTAAGCCTGGTTTCCATATCGACGTACGAGACACAGAGAGCAACGAAGTTAAGACACAAACAGCAACACCGAAATTATTGCAAACGGAGGTGTCGCCAACAGCGCAGACAAACGCAAACCAGCGAGCGAAAGACTGTCTGTGTCGAGCAGCCGTGGCATCCTCCCCATACAAATACGCATGCTGGCATGACTGGAGTGCAACGATGCCCCTCTTGAGATTTGAAACTTTTCATAGTGGAGGTAGCAAGTAAACTAGATTTGTGGTACCACCATGGATATCTCTCTCGTTTTTAATATTTGGGGTTCTGAAAATTAAAGAACCGGTGGTACTCAACGTTTCAGACAGTATGCTCTGTCGGTCTTCAGGAGACTGCAGAGGGTCCAGTGATGTGTAGGGGAAAGTGAGGTGTGGAGAGGATGCAAACTCCGGATCCAGCAGAGGTGCATCGCGTCGCACTTCAGGCCAAGTAACAAGGCGCCTTTCTACATGCGCGTCAAGTCTTGCGCCAAGCGTTGCGTATCAGTCAAGGAGCGATTTTTGACGACCAAACGCAACGCACACGTGTTAACATTAATGGAGTCGATTTTTGTGTCCGTGAAAGTGAAACGCACGAGCGCATTGTATACGCAACGCACCCAAAAAAACGTACATACGGAAAGCCGGCTATACGGGACACGACGCACGACTGCTGGAGATTTACTGTTCACAAGGGTACTCATGTTTGAGGAGCGGCGCCTGCAAGATCTCGACCATAAAAGGCAGGCCCACAAAGAGAGGACCTGACTCAAGTCTGGGTGTCACATGCCGTATGCAGTGCAGGCGCACCTAGCCTGTGTATTAAGAGTACTAAGCCACCCCTTGGATCTTGCCAATTATTTTTGTTGTCCTGTACATCAGTGTTTCTTGTTGTGTCATTCAACAGTCACCTATAACGTGGGTACCCATAACATGTAATTATCAATCGGTGGTAAATTTCCACTTAAAAGACCCCGTACGACTGTGCCTTGGATTGCTCGTCAAACTAAATTGAAAATGTCAAATTTAAGTTTAGGTCAGGTGATCTTCTCCACGGAGAGGAGGAAGTTTTCTTAAAGTGGTACAACCTAGACTGACTTGTTAAGAATAACCGCTACCGTATATCCCGGCAAATGAGAACAAAATAATGGATTCCAGACGGACAGGACGTGTCTGCGACCCAAACAGGGCTCAATTGGTGACCCTTGACGCCATGAATGGTATGCGTAATGAAAGGTATTTAACCCTCAATTAATAGACGCGTCCATTATTAAATTCTAATTTGATTTTGGGAGCAGGATGGCGTAGTGGTTCTTTCCTCGCCTTCCACCTCTGCGGTCTGGATTCAAATACCGGCCCAGTCCAGATATGGATAGGGTTTTCAGTCCCTACGTGATTCCGTTGGTTTTACCCAGAATATTTCTCCGGGATTTTCTTCCCACCTCTAAAATTGTTACTGCTTCTCATTGTCTCCTCTCTACGGGTTTCTTCAGGCTTGCAAGCTACGATGCCTAGGGCGCTTATGAAGAGTCCTTGGTGTCATCACAAAAAATAATAATCAATAATTATAATTTATGTGCGCATGCGCATAAATGACCTTTCGCGGTAAAGCTTGAGCGGCCCAGGTACAGGGACGCAAATGTCAACGTCATTTTCCCTCAGCCTCTGCATTTTTTCAACTCCTTCTTCAGGAAACCGTCTGAAATTATCATAGCTGTTAATTTCTGGTGTGATAGGAATTTGTGGAGAGCAAAATAAAAAAGAAATGAAAAATTTCGTTCGTTTGAAGTGCACGCGGACAAAAGAAATCAGTCGAGTTCCGTTCTGCGTGAGCAGTAAAACATATTGTACGATACTTTAGGGTACGATCCTCCATTCTCGGTCGAAAACGTTCGGGGCGAAACAAACCTAACCCAGTCTGAAGCTGGCCCCCTGCATTAAGCCCGCGATTCAGCGTAGTGCGATTGGTGCGTAGTATTCTGAAGTACATTCCTACTGAATTGGACAAGATCGAAAAGGAGCCTTGTTAATTTCTTTTGACTTTGCGCTCTCGGGGGAAGAGCATAGACTGTTTCTATTATTTTGAGAAGTGAAAAAAAATCAGTTCAGACCAGAAAGTAAAAGCTTTAATATAGAGGGTTTTCTGAAGACGAAAGGACACAAAGGTGCAGAAACTGAGAGGAAATGACTCTGAAGTTTGTGCCCCTGTGCATCACTGATGGGTCGCTCAAGCCTTTTGCCGCGAAAAGGCTATTATGCGCATGTGCACATAAATTAAAATTTGTTAGTGGAAGGGTCTAGTTACGTTGTTGATGATACCTGACCTTTGATCTCCATTGTCTTAAAATGAAGATCAGTGTATGTGACCTTAGATACATAGGTTGTCTTCCAAAGACATGTACAGAAAAATTGTCTATGGCGCCTTCCACTAAATGGGTAGATTTCAACGCGCGAGCTCATTAATTTTTCTTGATCCCGCGGGGTTTTTACAATAAAAGATGCCTTCATCGGGAGCGATCACAGAGATATTTTCAAAAATCACGAATGTGGATCTTCTGGCGTCCAACTCGGCGTATTTCATTCACAAAAACCTCCAACCCATGAGGCCCATTTGTTTGTAAAGAGGCGGGCGGCTACATTGAGAGCTGAGCGCATAGGTTTACTCCTCTTTTGGGGTGTTTTCGTCGAAGTATGAATAAAAAAATTAGCCTGGCTAACCCCAGTAAAATGGAAAAAAGGAAACTTCTGGCTGTAATCTTGAATTTCCAAAGGGAAGCGGTACCGGAGGCCCACCACTCCTTAATACAGTCACCAGGCGGCGCTGTGTCTGTCCGATTTTGCACTGTTTTCAAAGGGTGCGTATTCAGTGTCGTGAAATCTGTAAAGGCAAGATGGCGTCCCCCATGTACAAACCAAAAGGGGGCACCCTGTCCATTTTTCGTTCTTTTTTTATGTACCAACGGAGAATATGAGCCTGCCTGCCTTAGGAAATTGCAAAAACAGTAAAGGTTACTGGAAAATATCAGAGAAATGCACACTATGCCTCTTTGGCGGGGCATACTGACTATTCTGTCCTAAATAAGGGAAAAGGGTCTGAAATTTCCTGATTATTCAGTTATTTTTTTCTTCCAAAAAGCCAACCCGCGAGGTAGCGTAGAAAGGGAAACGGAGAATAGAGAGTCTGAATCAATAATAATTCTGTCTTTTCGTTATCTCTCTTGTACTTCTTATTCACTGCGTCCTGAAGTTTTGTAGAAGGAGTTTGATTCCTTGTATCACAGACACTATGCACAAAACAAGCCGCAATCAGTGGCAATGAACCAAACTGTATGATCCTTCATAAGAAAAGCAACAATGTAAGCGCATTCAAATTTTGGAATTGGTTACTGTACATGTATTTGTTACTATTTTCTGAATTTTGAGCCAATTTGTCTGAGAAAGTGACCTTTAGGGTGATATTAATTCTACTAGAAGGGTAAATTTCTGTGCGCGAGCTCATTAAAATTTTGTGATCCCATGGGGATTTACAATAAGAGATGCCATCGTCGAGAGCGATCATACAGAGATATTTTCATAAATCACGAATTTGGGACTTCTGGCGCGCGTACAACTAGGCGTATTTCGCTCACAAATCCAGTAGGTGGACCTATTTATAGAGGTGGACGGCTACATTGAAAGCCTAGAGCATAGTTGTACTCCTATTTCGGGGGTGCTTTGCGACGAAGGACGAATAAAAAATAATCCGCGTAGCTAACCCCTATAATACTGAAAACTGAGAAAAGTGAATTTCTGGCCATAATCTTTTTTCCAAGGGGCCGGGGAAGCGGGAGGCTAACCTCTCCTTGAGAGTCAACAGGTGGCGCTGTTTCTGTGCGATTCACATTGTTTTCAGTGGGCGCGTAATGCAACCATTAGTGTAACAGTGTCGTGCTACCTTGAAGAATCTATAGTCAGGGAACCAGATCACATGTACGCGGCATCTTTAGTTTTAGGGGAAAAGGCCGATTAACCTTCTTTCGTATTGACAACCGGACGCGACAGACGACACTAACAGTAGAATTGGCAGACGACATCAATACCGCTACTTGTTGGATACTAGGCCAACTAGTACAGTACTACTTCAGTTATGAAGGTGTCAGGTGCGTTTTGTAGTCTCTTTTGGCTTACAAATTGTCAAGATTGATGGCCTGCTTGGGTCTTAAACTAAAATTAGTTGAGTGAGGTGACCGTACCGCGACCCCTTGGCCTTGTAAAGTTGTAGGCCTAACGCAAAATCTGATGTTTGGCCTAGCCTTGCCCTCATCTTGACAATTTGTATCGCGGTTTTGAATTTTGCATTGCTACAATGCCAGTGAGATCCCAGTCGGCAATATTCGCCCATGTAATCAATAAATTATGGCCGAGCCTAAGTTTTATTGAAACAGAGTAAAAAATTCTGCATGTTTTTGTAAGTTTTGATAACTTTTAATAAAACTAAAGATGTAATTTTCTGAAATTTGTCAATTTTCTTTCACCGTGTCTGTCATTATCTACCGTCGAATAACAGTTTGGCCTACATCTATGCCACCCTGCCAGTGGCTATCCGTTGATGGGTTCCCATATCAATTCCAAAATGGTGCAAGGTGTCTAAAGGCAAATTTTAACTACAAAAGTGCCCATTTTTTTGGAGTCAAAATAAGGGCTTCTCCGCTGAAAACTTTTGAGTGCTTAAAGCGTGCCCCCAATCTCCATTGCAGTAGACTTGTATCAATCATACTTTTACCCTCCGTGCCCAGGGCAATTACTTTGGCTTTATTGTCGCAATTTTTTTGCTCATCTTACACAACTTGAAGAATTTTTCAGGGAACGTTTAGAATTGTTAACATTACTTTTGAATTAAATAGTTCAGGTCCAGTGATATGGTTATAACTTTCGGGGAATCAGAATTCAGAAAGCAGACACTTTTAACGATTATTCTTTCTGTTTCAGACATCCATAAAAGAATGAGTCCACCAAGAAAATTAAATTTGTGATACCAAAATATTTTTTATTCCTTTGGCAAACACCAATTTAAGCAATAAAGTGAATGTCAAAGTTGTTGCTGCAATTAAGATCGGGGTAATAAATTCTGGTGAAACAGATGAACTTATTTCGTGCCAGAAATAAGTGTAAGGTGACGCACTGCAGTTATTCCCATCTCGATCTTTCGGTTCAGGGCATCTTTAAGGAGAAGACTGGAAAAAAATGGAGTAAATTATAAGTAAAATGGAACTTTACCACAAAATAAGGTTATTTTGTTTCCTCTGAAAACTAAATCTTTCTGTTTATCCATATTTTTTTTGTAAACAAAGTACTTTAAAGGCCATCATAGAATCCATTTCTCGTTACCACGATAATTAATAGCGACTCCTCCTCTGTTGGCATTAGACCTACAGTGTGTGCTGTTGGTCTATGCATACGGCGCGTAAACAGATTTTTGGAGCTGTGTTGTAGAGGAAAATAAATTAAACCACAAACAAAATCTTATGAATCAAGTTAAAGAGAAAGAATTAAATAACAGTGAGGATAGGATTATTCAGGAGGGTGAGCGAGTAGTCTGTATTTCGATCGGGAAATGTGATAACTTCCACAAGATTAGAGGGAGTGTATACTCAGTTTTTTGACGTTTTAATCTAGCAAAACTGGCAAGTCCCCCCATAAAAGCAAGGCAACACTGTCTTCGTTGCGCTGACTCTATTTTTATTGAAATTTCAAATTGTAATCTGAGAAAATGTGACTTTCTTACTGATAAACTAACCATGCAAAGTTGAATCCACCATCTGTCATGTGTTAAAACACTCACAGGTTCCCCTCAAAATTTCCCTCAAACCTCAAACCCTACCGTTTTTGACAACATTAACCCTACAGTCATTGAGCATGATGTCATTGTCATCATCGTACATGTAGGTGAATTCAAAACTTAGAATGTAACTCTCCCTTCTATTATAGGAACAGGGTCCCCTAATTTGCAATCCCTGATAATGAAATAACTCATCCTAAATGAATAACTTCATTGAGAATGATTCTTCAATTAGTAAACTCCACTTGAGAAGTAGACCCGTAAACAGGGCCTGATGTACAAGTATACTCCTTCACAAAAAGAGTTCCATATACCAACGTCAGTAATTATTCCTCGGCTACAGTGGCCTATAAGTGGTCAGAAGGCAAAAACATGTCCAGAAAAGTTCAATTCAGGAGAGAAAAACCAAGTTGTTTACTTAGAAAACACTTATCAAGTTTTCAGACCTGTCTCATAAGGTTTGTGTACAGGGTGTCAAGCACCATCTACTTCAGTCCCTCCTTCCTTCTCAATCAAACCAGTTTCCCATTAGTAGGGAGGATCTCTCTAGGCCTACGCCATGTAACCATGGAATTCTAGTGTTTCATTGTAAAAAAATGGAGTTTTTGCCAGCCGTTCTTTTTCCCGCCCACACAGGTTCTTGTAAAATCTAAACATCTGGTTTTTCATTTGCAGAGTGCAGAGAGAGGATGGTGGCCCACCTAATGGCGGCTCTTTCAATGCCAATGGTTCACCTTATTACATCAGATACTCAGCAACAGATGCCAAAAATAACAAGCAAACCAACTTGTGTTCATTCACTGTCAATGTGAGGAGTAAGTACTGAAAGTGCTTGCTGTCTTTTTTATTTTCACCGAATTACCCTGAAGTAATATCCATGACGGCCTTGCACAGTCCACTTGCAGTTGCAGGGCCAAAACGTTCTCGGGGAAATGAGGGCTAAAAACTTCCCCGAGTCAACTGTCTCAAAGTTGTCAACTTGTCAACTGTATCTAAGTTCCAAGTTTATGTAAGTTTGAATTGGTCTCTTCATTTATAATTGATTTGCTTGTATTATCGAACCCAGTCAGATGTCATCTTTGTACTCGTTTCTTCTCCACTGCAGTAAGGAAATGTAAGCCCTACCCTCAAGTCTCCTGGGGCTTCTACACTTGTACTCATCAGTACTTGTATGGCTCAGAATGTACCGTCACCTGTTCAAGTGGATACTCCATTCGCGGGTCGCGCAAGCGAACCTGCCGAGCGAATGAAATGTGGTCTGGCCCTCCTCCAAGATGTGCACGTAAGAGAGGATAAAGCAAAATGGTTTGTGGTTGAACAGATAGACCTGTTTGAGCATGGGTAGTTTTTCTATAATTAGCCATTCCATTCTTGATAACCGTTTCACTTAATTGAGTGGCTGATTTTCTCTGTTTTGCAAACATTTAAATCATAGCGAATGAGCAAGTTGTCCATCATGAGATCTTCAAAGAGAAGTAGTTGTCTTCACAGAGCTTGCCATTTTACTTGTACTATTCTGAAAACATCATGCATAGAATGTAGGGGATATTTGGTTTAAAGTTTTTTCGGTTGTTCCATTGTGTCTGCTGAAAGTAAACCCTTGTTTTTTCAGAGCAGCTTTTTGATAATAAAATAAAATGTAACTAAATAATTGACACAGATAGATCAATCAGGTAACTGAAAATATTTGTGGCCATGAACAATACACAGAATCAGCAAAACAATCCATGCGAACAACTCTGGACAGGCTACATTTAGAAGTGCAGTCACCGTCCTTGGAGCCAAATGGCCAATCAATGCATACATGTACAGATCATCTGTGAAGGCTTTTGGAGTGCTGAGGATGGTTATGGGTTACCTGTATCTCTGCTCTTTCTAATGTAGGGGTTAGTAACCAGATTATACTCGGCATACCTTCATTTGTTTGTACAGCTGGAACAAGCAAAATAGCTACATGGATTTTATACATTGTGCACTTTACAATATGGCCCCAAAAAGTCACCAACATACTGTCTTCACACATTCTAGCCATTCAGTGTCCAACCTTACCCGGTACATCCTGCACTGATTCCAACTACTATCGCAGTGTCTGTACTCACTCATGCAGCCGAGCAGGCTACGGCCCTGCCCCAGGTCAAAGTGCGATCAGGGTCTGTAGAGCTGACGGGACCTGGACTGGGATTACTGCAGACTGTGTCGGTGAGTAATATACAACCCGTCTCAAACCACTTTTTGCTTGGTCTGTGCCGAGTACCCTTTACCTGTCACCTGATAGCTGATTACAGGTACATGTACTTGGTTCCATTTTGTCAATTTTGTTACCTGAAATTGCCCCTGTAAATGTCAACAAAACATTTCATACATGCTTACTTGCAGGTTAATTGTTGGAAAAAACTCTGGGTAAATATATCTTTGGAGTCAATTTAATGTGAATTAAGATCGCAGTTTAATCAACAAAAAGCCCACCCAAGGTACAACGCTTAACTGGTTTATTGCTGTTATCAATAGAAAAGAAACTTGGGTGAATAATAACATGAAATCTTACAAAAAAGATAATTCGTGAACAAAAATTCAAAATTAAAACAAAAATTAGAATTTACAAAGAGAAGGAAAATAGTTACAAAAATGTTCCAATGTGGAGCGAGTTGATTTTGGTTATGTATGCAATGTGAAGGCCTGGTATGACCCCATGACCCGGGAACTTTTGTTTGCTTGAAATCCAGATAATTTGACTTCTTAGCTGTTCCCCCGAGGGTTGAGTTGCTGAGATTTTACTGCATTGTTTCAAACTTAAAACTTAGAAATAAAAAGTTCAAATTGCGAAGTTTTGCAATTCTAGTTCCTGAATGTGCACCAGTGAGCATGCCAGTGGTCAGAACTGCTGTTTTGTTACCATTTTGAAAGTTGTTAAAGGTACCTGGGTACCCACCCATTACGGAAATCTGGTATCCAGTTCCTTTACCCTCAAATGCATACCACAACTTTTTCCACTGGCAACCTCCACAAAGCTAGGCTTCTGTGTTACTAAATTGATTATTATTCCTATGTTTTTTAACTGGAGATTTTGGGAGGA